CTTAGTCCTTGTGTTTGTGTCTGGGTTGCAGTAAGTTACATACAGTATAACATTAAAACACATGAAGGCTGGATTACCGCCCGCTCCCAGTCGACATGTGGCAGAGAGTTACTTAAGTGATAACTGCAGTCTGTGTGTATTGTGCCTGAAAACCGTTCAGCTGCTCATAGCCATTTGTACCTTATCGTAGAGATGCATGATATATATCGATACCAAATCGGTTATTGACCGATATTATTTTTTTATTATATATGTATTTTTTATTTTGCATTTTTACATTTAGATTAAATTACAGTGAGATAAGGGGAAAGGAAATATTTATAAATAATTTAACAACACTCTTAAATATAATCTTTAGCAAATCTCAAAATGAATATCGGTTTTTTAATTCCGTACATTATAATGTTGTAGTACCTAAATTCACTTGTGGAATTTAAAATGTTTAATTTGACTTTTTAATGTTGGATTTTTAAAAAATTATTATTCAAACAAAATAGTATAGAATGTTTAGTGTCTATAATATTTAGTATTTAGCATATCAGCTATTTCTAGGTATAACATGAAAGTAATTATCTGCTTACTGGTATCAGCCAGTATTATAATAATGGTGCATCTCTACTATAAAATGTCTGCTATATATATTGTGAACTGTTAAAATCCATTTAACTGACCATGAACTTACAAGGTGTTCCAAGACACTTTAAAGAATATCATGGTATATGGTGCATAATATGGTATTACCATGGTACATGTCTGAGACATCATGATAACTGTCTACAAATCCTTGATAATATTATGATACTATTTTGTGTCTCTTTCTAACTCTTCCTGTCTCTGTTAGATATCTACTGACAGCAAACTGGACTTGCAGTGACTGTGGAAAGACATACTGGACAGTGAGAGTGACAAAGAAAATCTGAACTGTTAACAAAGTAAAAGAAACAGTGCTATACTATGTAACGGACTTTAAACCATAAGTAGGGTATAAGAAACCCTCAGAAATGTGTTCCATCGTCCCAAACACACATACTGCAGAATGTATGTCAATGTAACGGTACAGTATTTTCAGCGGTGCTCTGTTAACCATTTATGAGGGGTTCTGATTACTCTCAGATATAAGAGGAAATATATATGCTTTCCATTCCCCCACTTCCATTTCCATCCAAAACCACGTAGACGATTGTTCCAGGATGCCGTTGTAGTGGGTTTAGCCTCAGGTGGAGCTTCAAGGCACACATGCTCTCGGTGAGAGGGCATTGAACTCCTGCAGACGGCAACTGAACATCGGCTATTGACACCCCTCAGGCTCATTGGTATTCAGTGCAGTCGTATGGGGTAAGATCTGGATGTCTTTCTTTTCTTTTACTGAGAAAACGGTGGACACCGAAGACCACTGGAACGTCATGAACTCAGATTCTACTTCAGTTATATTAAGGGAGCAGGCTCTTTAATGTAGCACGTGCTCTGAGGAAGACGACCAGTTGTCCATGTATAAACTGCAGGTAAATGTTAAACACTTTCTATGAGATCTTTTTAGTTGCCTTTCCGCTGCAGTTCTTTGATTAATTAGTCTCCTATCAATTTTAGATGATTCTTACGTTATTTTTCACTCCTCGTTTGTCTATTAACATTTAACAGAAAGGTTAACAGGTCTTCACAAGGATTCACTGTGCAAATCTATAGGTCCAAGTTTCTTTTTTTTAGCCTTCTGGAGGCTTGACGGATAAAAGTTGGTAGGAGATGTTATTTCTCTTTGTTAAAATGAATGTATTTACCAACAATAAACAGAGGAAATTATTATGTGCATTGATTTTTTTTGTTCCTTTTAAGTGAAATTTGAATGCATCTTATGTTATCATATAATAGGATTTCCAAGCCAGGAGATTGTGATGGAACTTGAGGTTTTGTGAGTTTTTCTTTTTAATGAAAATACAGTTTTATACATCAAATCATTCTGATTCTATATATAAAATGGCACTTTAAATGTATCATTGATTAGATTTATAGAAAGGCTAAAGATGATTAAATCCCAAAGAGTGGTGTAGTAAATATTTTGGATTTTGCTGAGTAGATTGGGAACCCCTTTCATAATTTGGTGTTTATTGGTCATAATTAATCAAATGTTTTTGTGTATCACTAGAGGGCAATAGTGCACTATTTATAAACTAGCTGTCGACGTGTATTGCAGCCAAATCTGACATTCCCCAAAATCTGTTTTACTGTTTGGAATTACAAGTTCAATTTATTCAGATGTGACTTTGGGTAGTAGCAGATGGTGGATGCAAAATAGCTAAAATAATGATTGAATAAATAGTATTTGCCATTACGCGCTGAAAAGTGTTAGGAACTGTTAGTAATTGTTTGCATTCATACTCGTTGAATTAAAACATTGAACTGGATTTTGTCCGTTGAGGTTTAGGATAATTTAGTGTGCATCCAAAAAATAAAAGATATCACAATTCGGTAATATTTGACTCGATTAGCTTTCAAAACCGAAGTGTTAATAAGTGTTAATGCAGTTTCTAGAGGTAGACGGTCTATTTATTTTAATGCAAAATCCAAAATAATGTTAGAAGCTTCACATTCCTGCGTTTACGCTCTCCCTTATTCCTGCACTTCTGCATCTATTTTTGTGCACGAGGGGGGTGTTCCCTTAATCAATCCTGAACGTTCCTGAGAATGTTCCTTCTGAAATGAGCATGTTTCATTTAAGATGGCATGTGATGCACGGAAGAGAGAGAGAGTGTGTGTGTGTGTGTGAGTGAGAACAATCACAATCACAGGGAGGATTTTGGGGATGCGCTGTTCATTTCAGCACCACTAACCAGCATCTGAGAGCAGAAAGAAGGTAAGATCTCACATCTACTGCACTTCCATGCTAGTATGCTTTAAAATTGTACTCTTATGCTGCAAGTATTACACTATCAAATCATCAGTGATCTAAAAGATTTCTATTGTGAAACCTAAACGAATGTTACAGTTGTTTCTGTAGAGCTAGTTTGTGTTTTATATGATGACAAGTCACTTAAAAGCACTTTTAAGACATTGAGACATTTGTTGCGCGTTTCTGATGTATATAAAGAATTGAACGAGAATGCAGAGGCTGTGTTGATTAGACCGCATGTGAATCATTGCATTGCATGGCATCAAAGGAATGTGCGCAAATGCACACGCATGCATGCTGATTCATACACATGGACTATTGGGTTTGTAGTTTATTTCTCTTATAAATTCAGAATTGTCAATCAGAAATGTGCGTGCTTAATGTGTATGCTGTGAATTTTTGTGAAACGTATCATGTCTTTCTCATGAGTTGCATACTATAAACTCCAAATTGCACGCGACTGCATGCTTTTGGAGAAGCATACGCTTGTTTTTTTTTTCTTTTTCTCCCAACCACGGTTGTATGAGAGAGAAAGAGCTCTGGATTCCTATGAGACAGGTTCTCCTGGGGGAAATATAATGGGATCTCCAGTAGAAGATGGTTCTGCTTGACACATACTGATTCGTGTAAATTTAAAAAGAGAAATGGGACACGCTGCCTCTGCCAGGGTAATAACTCCATCTGTCTCTGATATAACGACAGAAGAGAGGGAAGACCCGAGCTCTCATATAGAGATTAATTTGTGCAAACGAGTAGAATATTAGGCTGAAACAAATCCAATTATGCATATGCACAAATACTATCATATATGCAAATGCATTTCGATTTAAACAGGCAGTCTCTGCACTCGAGAAACCAATGCGCACTGGTATTCCCCGAAGATGTATGGAGTAGAAAAAAGGAATAGTCATTAGAATAGAGCCGTATAGAATATAACAGAACAGAAAAGCATCATTAGAACAGAACAGAGTCATTTAGAATAGAGTAAAGCAATAAAGAATCATTACAACAGAACCGATCCGTTAGAATAGAAGAGAAGCTATGTTGTAGAACAGACTAAAACAGAATTGTATAGAGTGGGAAATGTTGTTTGTAAGGTAACATACAGATAACAGTAAGATCCAGGGATGATGGGATATTTCCTGCGTGATCTATAGTGTCTTGGTTAGTGTGGGAATTTCAGTGGCATTTGTGGCTCACCAGGGGAGCTGAATCACACTTGGAAGTGTGCAATGGACTTCCTTTACGTTGTAGTGTGATGCTCTTGGCGCACGGAGGCGGCAGATTGCGCAGCGTGTGTCTCTCGAAAGCGCAAGGCTGTGCGTAACTGCGCTCGTTGCGCGTAATCTAGCGATGGCTCTCCAGTCGATAGTGGGGATGTGGAGGTGTTTCACGAGAGGTTCTCTCTGTCTCGACTCTCTGAAATGTTTCAGGTGTTTGATGTGTGCCAACAACAGTGTAAATTAGCAGCCTTCATTTTGGAGCTTAGGGTTTGGCTAAAAAGAAAGAAATGTGGACTGATGTAGGATAGCCCACAGGGAAAGACAGAGTGCCAAATCTATATCAAGAGTAGGTTATATACTTCTCCAGAGACATAACATGTTAATTTGAAAACCATAAAGTTAATTTCAAATGCTTTAAAATGGAAATAATAATAATAATAATGATATCAGTAAACACTAACATTAAAATAATTACTGTCCATCTGCATTGGCCCAAATTTCTATATCTGTGCATCCTGACAAAAAACTGTTCTGAAGATCAATCTGCCATAACTCTCTTGATTACCCTGTGTCCCACTCCATTCCACAAGGCTGAACTGTAAAAATCAACCCAACAGCTCCATTGTCTGCAAATAGACACATTTCCTCTCACTGCAAAATGTCTTTGGTTGTCTATGCAAATGTGAGAGAAGACGGTCTTGATTTTTTTTCTTCAGTGAGGCAGAAACGAAAGACCACACTGAGCTCCAAATGACTGTGATGTAATTTCCTCCCTGTCAAGATGCCCGTGTATTTGATGAGTTTGCTTTGTTGCTTGCATATATTGTGTCTGATTCATGTTTGATTTTCTCTGTGTAGCCACTCATACAATGTTTTCTTTTCTTTAGATGCTTCTGAAGATGTGAGAGTTTTGGAGCTCGATTTGGAAAGGCAACTTGTCTGATGTTTTTGGATCTCCTTATATCACCTGTTATCAGTCACACGACATGTACGCCAGACGCTTTTGCCCCATGAGAAATTCCTGTGGCCACACTCTAAACGGTCAGAAGGCACGACTTCAGCTTTGAAATGGGCATGGATATTCCCGTCCACCTGCTCCCTCATTAGTACTCAGTTCCACCACCTGGAATTTTCAGACCTACACTTCCTCACGTAGTCCCCAACGATCCTGTGGATATGGATCTTGTACGCTTAAGTCGGACTCAATACCAGTTCCTCTTCTTTCTTTGCTACTGGTTACCGGTCTCCCTCCAGCGGGTGGAGACACCACCCATTGAGTATGCCCACTCTATCCGTCTGGATGGCGACATCATCCTCGGTGGCCTGTTTCCGGTTCACTCCCGGGGTGAGCGTGGCATTCCCTGCGGGGAGTTAAAGAAAGAGAAGGGTATTCACAGACTGGAGGCAATGCTGTTTGCCATCGACCTCATCAACAAAGACCCAGAGCTGCTACCTAACGTGACACTGGGTGCCCGTATCCTGGACACCTGCTCGCGGGACACCTACGCCCTGGAGCAGTCGCTTACCTTTGTACAAGCTCTCATCGAGCGTGACGGTTCGGATGTACGCTGTGCCAACGGAGACCAGCCCATATTTGCCAAGCCAGATAAAATCATTGGAGTCATTGGTGCAGCTGCCAGCTCTGTCTCCATCATGGTCGCCAACATCTTGAGGCTTTTTAAGGTAAGCAGGCTCACCTTGTCCTTCTTGGGATTGGGAGTGGGGTGCATGCTCTGGTTCTTGTCAATGATGGATGTTGCGTAGTGTAGTGGATAACAATCAGGGCTGGGTCTAAAAGGCTGCGGGCTGCTGTTATGTCCCCACCAATGTCAAAAGCAAACCTACACCCTTGATGACGGTGGATGTGTCTCCATCAAGTCTGCCAATATTATGATGCTGTTTAAGGTAAGGAGGGTCTCATAAGTGGTCTAAACTTGTCTTTCTGGGGCCTGTGAATGGGGCGTAGTCTGTAGCTGTTGTGAAATGGTGGTTATAGTACAGTGTAGTTGTTAACAGTCTGGTCTGGGCGCTGTAGATTGAAACCTACAATCAAGACCAGCCCATATTTGACAAGTTTGACAAAATTGTTTGGGTCATCATGGCAGTGTAGTGTAGTGGTTAACAATCTTGATTGGGAGCCAAAAGATTGTAGGTAAAAATGAGTGAGTGAGCCATTGAATCCTTTAGCAAAGTACTTAACCCTAGGTTGCCTGGTGAGATTGTCCCCTTGGTATGTGCAAAGCAAGTCTCTTTGGATAAGTTCCTGCTTGCTTACTTTCTAAGTCTTTTCAAGTAGCTCTTTGAAGTAGACAAGGTCTTCATAAACATGGCTGACCTCACATTACTCAAACTACAGTTGTTTGAAATATGTTGTGACAGAGTGCATGTTGGCCTAGAAGAATCTCAAGGCAGGATGATTTCGGAGAATGATGCCACCCAAACTCTTTTATAGTCTAAATGTACGTCTCCCTACCCAGCAGGAAGATCACTGTTTCTGGGCAAATACGACAGTGAAATGAACTCCGGCATTTTGCTATGCTTGTCAGTGGAAATTAAGGGAACCAGGGGGCTCTTTCTTTGTCATTGTTAATGGATGTAAGCAGCTAAAGTTCAGCAGTGGCAACCTGTTACATTCTAGTCTTTGCTGGAATAACACCGCCTCTACACTCTTAAAAATAAAGGTGCTTCAAAAGGTTCTTCAAGCGATGCCATAGAAGAACCATTTTAGGTTCCACAAAGAACCATTCAGTCAAAGGTTCTTTAAAGAACCATCTCTTTCTTACCTTTTTTATAATCTGAAGAACCTTCTTTAGCCACAAAGAACCTTTTGTGAAATGGTTCTTTATGGAACCTAGGTTCCACAAAGAATCATTCAGTCAAAGGTTCTTTAAAGAACCATCTCTTTCTTACCTTTTTATAATCTGAAGAACCTTCTTTAGCCACAAAGAACCTTTTGTGAAATGGTTCTTTATGGAACCATTTAGACAAAAAGGTTCTTCTATGGCATCGTGAAGCACCTTTATTTTTAAGAGTGTAGGAGATTCTAAGAATCCTATATGGGCTGCGTATGGTGTGTTGTATACATGTCCGTAGACTGAAGCTTAAGTGAACTCTTGACAACAATATATTTTTACTCAGTCATATTTAATAAGGGGTATAAATAACACTTCTGGCTGACTGCTCATTGTAGTTGTCATAGGAACAACTCACGGCCGCCCTGTGCCAATTAACCACACGATGTTAATGAAACTCTCTGCTGTTTATGCCACACTCATTAGCTGACCATGATTTGACTGATTGATGTAGACACATTGTGCCGATCGACCCAGCCACAGTAAATGACGCATGTCCCATACTGCAAGCACAGATCTTTTTCTGTAACACCATGTCAGCTGTCAGACTTTGATATCAGGGAGCAATCACGATTAGAAGAGACATTGTCTTGGGTGTTGAGCAAGTAAATGTGCATGTGGCTGAGTATGTGCTTGGTCTCAACAGGAATGCCACTTGAAGGCCTATGAAATGCTATGGTGTTAGATACAAAAAGAGCACTAGGGGAACGCTACTGAATGTGACATGGCTGGCTGCCATAATATTCCTATACATCAACAGTGGCTCATTTGTATTTATGAGAATCTGTGGCCTTATCCCTTTAGCATTTTTCGAATGTTCAGAAGCCTTGGCTGCAAATGTATTTGCTTGCTAGACTAGAGAGTTTCTAGAGTTATGGACTGTGGCTCATTTGAAAGTAGAAGCAGTCTGACACTTGGCATCGCGAACGGTATTAATTTCCTACTGTGAGTGTGTCAAAAGATCAGACCAATTATCTAAGGATCAATGTTGTGGAAGTCTCTATATTTGAAACTGTTTAAATGAAAATGCAGTTTTTTAGCACATTAAATTACAGATAAAAATGACCTTTGCATATTTGTGTATTGTTACAGATTGAAATGTTGTGTTTTTTTCTTCATTATCAAGTTGATTTAGATAAAACAGTTTTACAGGCTTAAACAGGCTACTTTCCATGCCTATGTTCCAGAATGATGCACAATTGTGGTGAAAACTGACTTGTGTCAGTTTCATGACACTTGTTTAAAACATGTTGCTCTTGATAAGCGTGCCTGCAGTATGTTTAGCTGCTGTCATTCAATTAGCCACTGAAAACACTTGTATGTACAGTATGTGAAAGACAGTATATGAGACATTCTCGACGGCCGAGAGTGCCTGCATCACCGTGAACAGGGGCTGATGCCAACGCATAGTGATTCTGAATGGGACAGATGGAGTTCCCCTGGCAGAACTCCTGTTTAGGTAATCACTACAGCTTTAGCATGCCTAGCGAGAGGAGGGCCGCAGGCTGTTAGTCCCCTGATTCCATTCTTCTGACGGACCCAGCTCACTGTGTGGAAGTCTCTATATTTGAAACAGTTTAAATGAAAATGCAGTTTTTTAGCACATTAAATTACAGATAAAAATGACCTTTGCATATTTGTGTATTGTTACAGATTGAAATGTTGTGTTTTTTCTTCATTATCAAGTCGATTTAGATAAAACAGTTTTACAGGCTTAAACAGGCTACTTTCCATGCCTATGTTCCAGAATGATGCAAAATTGTGGTGAAAACTGACTTGTGTCGGTTTCATGACACTTGTTTAAAACATGTTGCTCTTGATAAGCGTGCCTGCAGTATGTTTAGCTGCTGTCATTCAATTAGCCACTGAAAACACTTGTATGTACAGTATGTGAAAGACAGTATATGAGGCATTCTTGACGGCCGAGAGTGCCTGCATCACCGTGAACAGGGGCTGATGCCAACGCATAGTGATTCTGAATGGGACAGATGGAGTTCCCCTGGCAGAACTCCTGTTTAGGTAATCACTACAGTTTTAGCATGCCTAGCGAGAGGAGGGCCGCAGGCTGTTAGTCCCCTGGTGTTCATTAGCATGTAGTAATGCCTATTTTTGAATAATCCAGTGAACTTCACAAATGAAAGTTACTTTGTAGCATTATTTTCCTCTCTATTCAAAACACTACACTCTTAAATATAAAGGCTCTTTATTGGCATCTATGGTTCCATGAAGAACATCCATGGAAACTTTTCATTGCACAAAAGGTGAGGGAAAAAAAAGCTCCAGGAACCAAAAATGGTTATTAACTCCTTTAACATCCTGGGAACCTTTCTGTTGAACAAAGGGTTCTTTATAGTGGAAAATGGTTGTTTTGATTATTAAAAAGCTCTTCACACTAAGAAAAACGTTTTTTTTAAAGAACTGTTTACTGAAAGGTTCTTTGAGGAACCAAAAATGGTTCTTTACTTTAAAAAAATAAAGGTTCTTAATTGGCATTGATGGAGTTTTTGCAGTGATGCCATAGAAGAACCATTTTTGGAACCTTTCAGGGAACAGTTCCTAACAACCATGTTTTTCTTATTGTGAAGACCATTGTAATAATCTAAATAACTTTTTTTTCCATTATAAGAACGTTTTGTGGAATGGAAAGGTTCCATGGATGTTAAATTTTCTTCATGGAACCATCAATGCAAATAAAGAACCTTGATTTTTAAGAGTGAAGGAGCCTTTCCGTTCCACAAAAGCTTATTTTTATTGGAAAATGGTTCTTTAGATTATTAAATTGTTCTTTTAAGAACTGTTCACTGAAATCTTCTTTGGGGAACCCAAAATGGTTCTTCTATGACTTCACCCTTTTGAAATTTTATTTTTAAGAGTGTAAGAGTTGATATTTTTATCGTTGTGCAGCATGTAATGCCATACTGCCTCGGTCTTATGGATAAACGTACTTGTGGGCCCTCAGGGACTTCATTCTCAGACTCAGCCTGAGGCACACGGGTTCAGGTTGAAGAGCGTCGGCTCTCAGATGCTTTGCTGGGGTGGAAACTTGTGAGGATGAGAGCGAGGACGAGTGGGCGAGATGCCATGGGTGCCACTTAACGATTCCACCCGTTGATTTCCTCCATGAGGAGAATTAAGAGTGTGATAATGGACCGACAGCGAGCTGGAGAGATCTCATTAGACACAACCACACACACAATTATAGGGTATAACACAGGTTTATGCAGGTAAAGTTCTGGCCTAGTCTCTAAATTTCCTTCCTAGTAAAGGTCAGAAAAATAAAAGGTTTCCAAAAACAGTGCCAGGAGTCAATATGTTATTTTTGGCTATGGAATTAAATAAGAAAGGTGCATTTCAGGACAACTTATAATGTAGCCTACATCCAGCCAGTTGTCATCGCAGAATAACCCCTGACTGTATCACCCTGAAGGGGGTTATTCTGCGATAACAACCGGCTGGATGTACATTATTCCACTTATTACACAGCTACTTGCCACATAAGTAAATAATTAGACACGAAATATTGATTTGATTTGAAATATCACGCAAAGCTTCCATGAAGATAGCAGTTGCAAGCACATGCAAGGACATTTAAGGGATACGGTGCAGTCAAACCACTTATTACACAACATTTCACCACATAAATAATTATGGCAGCAGCTGCGTTTGTATGAAACGAGAGAGCAAGTCCGCGATACCAGGATGACATAATTAAATATTTGAACACATAATATTGAATCGAGTTTTAATATTTTATTAGCTAACCAACGCAAAGCTTCCATGAAGAAAAACTGTTCCTAGCAAGAGTATAGCGCAGACTTCAGTTACCCGGAT